GTCTGGGTTCCAGTCCAAAAATTCTGTTTCAGTTTCTCTTGCGAAACACCTGAGAGTGGGACTGCTGGGCCGCCGAGTAGGGATGTGTTAACTTTATGAGAAACTTCCAAAAAGTCCCCCAAGATGGCCCATCGTTTTCTCTTTTTCTCTTTGTTCAGCCCCGTCCTGTGCTCTCCAGCACCAAGAGGGGACCAGGGCCGGGCGATCAAGAAGCCGGCGGAGGTAACCGGCCAGTGCCAGTGGCCGTATCCGGTCCTCACAGGTTATTAGTCATGAGACGTTGCACAGATTGCTGGACTTGCCATTTTTCTAGAACAATCACAGTCGCGGGCCCTGTTGGCCCTGTGCTCCCCCATTTGGAGCTGAGTAATGGCTGTCCCCTTCAGCTGGGACACGTGCCCCGCTGCCTGCCTCACTCACCTGCTGGCCTCCTGTGTGGGCAGCAGGGCCCTGGACACATTCATCGCCCCTTAGGCCCCAAGGACTCGGCATCCTTCGGCCTTCCTGGGGTTGTGCCTCTGGAGGCAGATCGCAGTGTCAGGCCGTCTGTCTGTCCCGCGTCTGTCCATCTGTGCGACCCATTCTCCCTCCCCTACCCGGGCAGGCCACTCCCCCGCAGGCCCCCACTCATCTGGTGTCTATTTAATTGCCAGGTCTTTGTGCAACCAGCCGCCCTCGTCTGGTGGACACATCTCTGGGTTCAAATCCTGGCTCTGCTGCTTACTGGCTTGCAGCCCGTGGGCGAGTTTTCTCATCAGTGAACTGGAGATGATGACAGGGTCTGTCTTCGAGGGTGACTGCAAAGGTGGGTGAGCGCTGGACAGACCTTGCGCGCGCGCGCGTGTGTGTGTGTGTGTGTGCGCGTGTGTGTGCCACACGCCTCCTGAGCCCCTCTGCCCGGGCTGCAGCCCAGGGCCCAGGCCCAGGCTCGGGGCTGTGGCCATGACTCTGCTCCGGCGTGGCTGTCTGTGCCACGCGGGCCTGCAGTGGCCACATCTTCAGATTATCCTACCACAGTGGGAGACCAGAGCCTGTGGAAAGTCTCGTGATTCACAAGGGCTATTTTTCAGTCTTGAATGCCCTGAGTGCTCCGCAAAAACCTCCCTCTGTCCCCGCCTGTCCTGGTGTCGTGGGCCACACAGGCCCCGGCCGTGGCCTGGCCACTCCTGACAGCTGCCCCAACTCCAGACGCCTGTCTTTGCACCGCCTCGGTCTGGAGAGCACAGGACGGGGCTGAACAAAGACGGTCACTGTCCCGGCTGCAGAGGCCCCGGGCGGCACTGACTGCTCTCCTGGGACGTTCCTCTGTCCCCTGCC